CAATTTTGAGCTTATTATTTAAAGCTGAAAAAAAAATGTTTTAGTTCTTCTAATATTAAATAAACTCCATCGTTATTGGAAATAGTTAATAGAATACCTTGTAAAAACTCCCTTTTAAAACATTAACAACCAAAGTCACTGATTAAAAAAGAATGATGACATTCCCAAATTCATATTTTTTTTCTGTCATCCAACTGTCATCATTAGAAATGAAATGACATTAACATTGACATAAGAAATTATTAAAGTAAGTAAGCAAAAGCAAGACAATGTTTTTAAATTACTAAAACTTAAACAATACTTAATATTAAATAAGTACAGTTTCATTTAGACATAAGAGTTTTACAGCATTAATATCACTTTTTTAACCCGATGTTTTTCTCATTAGAAATACCTATGTAAAGGACTCCTTTAGTATTTTTAAAAGTGTAATGTGAATTGTGATTAAATTAAATGGCTGATGAAAAATCAAGTGATAGTGTACCCCAGACCGAATTGTCCAGCGGAGTAGAAAATCTTAAAATTGAAAACGGACAAAAAGAAAATGGTGATACCAATAAAACAGATAAAGTGAAAGGTAAACAATTTTGAATTGCTGTTATTGGTACTTACAAAATATACACTAATCAAAATATTTCCTTAGCAATATTACTAAGTAATTCCCATTAAAAGCTTTTGATGAAAGAATATTATAATAGTCATATTTAATTCTATTTTAGTTGATATTTTACTGAAGGCGACAGGAGATGCCCCCATCATGAAAAAAAAGAAATGGGCTGTAGATGCTGAAAAACCTATAGGATGGATCATAGAATTTGTCAAGAAATATCTCAAACTGGAGCCTGATGAGAAACTGGTAATTGAAAAAAACTACAATTATAGAGATACACTTAATAATTCAATTGAAATATAAGCTTCATGTATTCATAATAGCTTATAAAGGGTGTTATTTTGGGACACCCTGTATACATAGCATTCATTAGCGACTCCGCTTGCACGGAATTGAAAAAATTACTTAATAAGTAGCCTTAGTGTTCTATCAGACTGTGTTTTACATCTATGCCAAATTTCACTAAGATCTGCTAAGCTGTTCTAGAGATACCTTTTCCATCCAACTAAACATTGACATTTATATTATTAGTAAAATTAATAGTTTTTAGTGATTAATGCTGTAAATAAGTGTATTTGTGAGAAGATATAGTTATTTTCCTTTCAGTTCTTGTATGTGAACCAAACATTTGCACCATCACCGGACCAGATTATCAAGAATCTTTATGAATGTTTTGGAACAGATGGTAAATTGGTGCTCCATTACTGCAAGAGTCAAGCTTGGGGCTGATGAAACAAAAATGTGTCCAGTTCCCTCATTTTATGTCATCTATTCTTATGTTATAAGGAAAATTATGAAACATATAATTTTGCATTTTATGACATAAAACAACCAAAAATTAACATGTTTGTGAATAAATTCAAAGAAATTAATATTTTTTGTACTTAGAAGAAAAAATATTTTAAAGCTGAGGCTTAATTTGTAGAGCAAGAGCTTGTTAATCAGATTTTTGCTTTGGTGAAATGTTTTACAATTTCATTGATAAACAATCAATGTTGAAATCAAATAATCTATATTAGAATATTATAAAGATCAAAGATTTATTGCTTATTTGTTTATATTAAATAGGCTGCAAAACTACTGAATTCATTTAAAAAATACTTTCACTGTTGGCAAGCTACACTATGCCCACGAGAAATAAGCTATATTTATTACTAGATTTTTTTAATTCCATGCAAAGGAAGTCTCTGTCAAATGTATTATATTACTGCATTTAAATAGAAATACTTTTGTAATTTTGCTTTATTAAAAAGCTCAGATAAAGTGGCCTTTTATTTTGATACTAAAAGGGTAGCCATTTTGACAAAAAAAGAAATCTGTACTTTACCTCCCCTGTCTAAGACCCAAATGTAACTATTTTATTTATTCAGTCTTGTGATTTGCAAATGAAGCTCAAAATAAAATAAAATTAATAAAAATAAATTTATTATGAATAGCTGGATTGTATTTGTTACAATACTATTATTTATTTTATTTTCTGTCTCCGCTTCCACTGATGTAGTCCTTGCTTGTAGTCCTTGTGGGGAGATTATCTGTAATAAAAAAAGGTTTTTTTTTTTAATTAAAAAGATTTCTTTTTACTTACTGGTCGAAAATATGAATATTATTATATATTAATTTTACCAAATTGATTCATTCATACTGTGGTTCTGTGCTACTGTAAAAATAATTTCAAGCTTGGCTAATAAAATGTAATATCACATTTGGTCTTTATCTCATAATTGCTATTCCACAAAAATCTAATCTTAACACTTTGCATATCGAAGTAGTTAGAAATAGTTATGATTTCCACAACTCCTGAAATGGCGTATATTCTGCGTGAAGGTTCCTGATTGTCTCGTGAAGTATTACCTGGTGGTCTGCAGCACTTCTTTGTTTGTGCCTTGACTGGTGACGTCACTTTGGAGCCCCGGGCCTGCGTGACGTCACACGGGCAGCACGAGTGCACGCTGCTGCGCGATGTGTTCATCGCTTCTATTTTTTCTTCCTTTCAATTAAGAGCGAAATAAAAACAAATAATTACATTAAGTACAACGAATCTTAAAAATAAAAACTTGCATCTAATAAAACAATAACAAAAGTTTTTTAGTTCTTACTGTTACAATTGTGTCGGTACAATTGTTCTCACCTTAGAAGGCGCGGCTGGAAGTTTGAACTGTCTTTCAGTCGTAGCTTTCTTGGTCGTCTTGTCCTCGAGAGGCAGATGTAGTTCTTGTTGCAGTGTCTTTGGGGATTGCACCGTCTTCTGGGTGGCCGATGGTGGTTTCTCTTTTGATAGATATTGCTAAATAGATAATTAACATATTAAATAAAAAATATCGTAGTTACTAAAATTTACTTTGTAAATGTCTTCGTCAATATATTTGTAAATTGAGTTATCGGTCCGTGGTACCGAGGTATATGAGATGTTTCCAAGTCGAAGAAGAAGAATTGAGAGTAAGCACACAGCCAGGCCGTGTATATGTATCGGCAGGACATACATCGGGCACGTTCCAGACGACGAGTCCTCCGGCTGCGCAGGCGCTCACCACGTAGCGCGAGTCGGGGCTGAAGCGGCAGCAGGTGACCGCCGCCGCGTGACCCAGACCCATGTGCGTGTATATGCCCTCCTGGTACTTCCACAGCTAAAACAACAGAACGACTATTTCTGAACACATGCTCTCCTCTGCAATCAAATAAAACATCTCGTGCCTTACTACTTGGCACTTTACCAGCACGCAACTCGCTGCGCCGGAGACCGAGGTGCGTCTCGATAGGTTAACGTGGGCGCATGAACTAAACAATGGTAAAACAATATATACTCGTATGTACATACTTTGACCATTTGATCGTTGCCGCCGGTGACGAAGAGCTCCCCGTCCTGCGTGATGTGTAGCCCGTTGATGGCTCCCACTTTGCTGGCCTCCAGCTGGAGGGAAGCGAAGAAAAATAATAAAATGATGATAAGAGTTTCAGTGTAAGAGGTAAAAGAAGAAGAAGAAGAAGTAAGAAAGAAGTGTGGGAGCGGGCACCTCCCTGGCGAGGTTCCCGCTGGCGGTCTCCCAGTATGCGACGCGGCGGTCGGTGCCGCCGGTGAGGAGCTGGCAGCCGCGCGGCTCGTAGCAGATGCACATGAACAGCGTGTTCGCGTACATCACCTGCCGCCGCGACAGCGACCTGCCCACACGACACTCGCTTATACACTTGTACTGCTTTCTCTCTGTTTCATTTGCGACATTTCGCAACTGATACTATTATATGTACGTGACATATAATACACATAAATGGACGAGTTTGAATCGGAACGAATGAAAATCTATCGTCCCAAGCAATCGAATATTCATTTATGAAGATCAGACTTAAATAAAAAAAAATCGGTAAGGTAAGATGAGCGTGTGTCACATGAGATCCCATATGATGGCGGAGCCGTCGGTGCCGGCGCTGACCGCCTCCGTGTCGTTGGGGGAGACCTGTATGGCGGACACGGGGCTCTTGTGCTCCTTCAGCACCTTCTTGAGGGACTGGCACTCCGGCCGGATGTCCCACACGCGCACCTACGAGTACGTACACTATCACATAGCGATCTAACCGATTAATATTAAGTATTTTCCGATAATTACAAATATGTTAATTAATAAATATTTAAAATTCAGTCGAGTACTTCATTCTTTTATATTATCAAACCAAACGTAATATCTTTAATCCAAAACGATTTTTCGATAAGAAGTAAGTTATTAACGATACGACATCGCAACACAGTATATAAACATTATAATTTCTGCCCGAGGCGGTAGTTCAAAAGTATAAAAGCACGTCACCTGCCCCTCGCAGCCTCCGGAGATGAGGGTCCGTCCGTCTGAGGTCATGTCAATGGCGGAGGTGCCCTTGTTGTGCGTGTTGAAGATGCAGTAAATGAGGCGGCCCGTCAGCGGGGTGAACGCGCGGATGTTGCCGTCGTTCCACGCTGCACAAACTTTACTATTTGACGCTGTCTATGACAGGTAACTTACAAACTTTATTATAATATTATTTTTTAAACAAACATAGTGGAAAAAGAATTATATTAAGTACTTCCACGATAACTATACTATTTTTAATTAAGAAGGATAAATAGCAAAAGAAGCAAGGGTCGATTCCAACATCTGTGAAGCTGCTGATGTGTTACTATTATAGATTTCTAGAAGAGGAAAAATACCACAAGAGTATGTTATGTATGAAAGCGAATTACCGGACACAATGGACTTTCCGTCTCCGGAGAAGAGCACGGCGGAGCAGGAGAAGTTGGGCAGAGCGATGCGCAGCAGCTCGCGCGCCGTCTGCAGGCACCACACGCGCACGCTGCCCGCACCACCAGTCGCGAACACGCCCGACATGCCTCTGTCCTCACACCACCACACCGACACATCATCTCACTGGTAACCCACTAGCACTAGCATGCACACTGCCGTCGACGAAAATATATGTTACGAGACCTGGGGAAGGCGATGTCGTTGATGGCGCAGCGGTGGCAGGTGACGACCAGCGTGAGGGTGAAGGTGGCCATGTCGATGGAGAAGATCTCGCTGGTGCGCGTGCCCAGCAGCAGCAGGCGCTGTCCGCCGCGCCGCTGCGGCGACTCCAGCAGCTCCATCGACGTGATGCAGCCCGGCACCTTCACGCTCCTCAGCTGCAAACGGTCCAACAGAAGCCTTTCAAAATTTTACAAACCTTTTTTTCTTGTAGGCCCATGTAGAAATGTTATGTATACTTACAGCTTTGAAATGCGGCTTGTTGGGCGCCGCGACCTTCGCTTTGGGAAAGTCTCCCTTCCAGTTGATCTCGTCCAGCACGTCGACTGTGCCGTCACCCCCGCCCACTATCAGGCACCCGTCCTCCATTATCAGTATCGCTTCTATACCTGTTAGGAAGCCCTTTCTTTAACATTGAATTATCCTGACCTTTAAGAAAAAGTCTAGGTTGTGATGATTGCTTTTAGTTTTGTTGAATATTCTGTATCCAAAAAATATATCTTTTGTCCGGGTGTCTCACCCTGGCTGTAGCAAATGGTCTCCGGGGCCTTGTTCTTCTTCCACTGGCCGCACTTGGCGAGGCAGCCGATCAGGCTGGGCTTGCAGTTCGCTACCGACGCGTTGGGGTCCGCGGGGAAGTTTATCGAGAACTTTATCATGTCGCCCGTCCTAACACACAAATTATTAATTTGGTATAATCTGTCAGACTCGTACAGGAAGTTGTTCAGTGGTAGCGATGTCGGCTGTACTCACGTAGTGCCGGCGTACCCGTAGGAGTCGTCCTTGCTGACGGCGATGCAGCGCACACTGCGCCGCAGCTTGCCCAGCGACACGTCCAACACTTCTAGTGTCTTGCTCTCTGCGCGCACGTTCCACACGCGCAAGTTGGCTGACACACATACATTCATACTAAAACATCTCTATCACTTCCTTTAAAAGCCGATGAAACAATATGTACTGTGAATGTTACGGCAGTAGAAACATATCATTGGAGAGCAGTAAACATCAAAATACGATCAATAATAATTCATTTATAGTTGACAGTACCGTACACTTCTTGCAGAAATGTGATGATTTAGTACTTATACATCAAAGAACGTCTTACAATCTCCGCCGGTGACGAAGGCACTGTGCCTCAGGTTGAGCGGTGCGAGTGTGACGGCGTCGCCCGTGGTGAGCTTGGCGGCGGCCGTCGTGGCGGTGGCGGAGCCCCCCGCGCAGTCCCACAGCACCACGCAGCCGTCGTCGCGGCCTCCTAGCGAAATCATGTAGCGCTCGTCCGACGAAAATGTCAGCGCCTCTACGCGCACCTGCACGAACAACTTATAGTAGTAGTGCAGCAAATATAAAATTTTCAATATACATACCTAGAACACGTGAGAAATATCTGACACTGTAATTACAAAGTTATCCCGGCAATTTAAAATAACAAAAGTTGTTTTGACCTTATGTAATTCGTGGGTGCCAATCATAACTCTCTTTTTGAAGTCCCAAATCTTGGCGGAAGCTTTGAAGCCGATGTGGTTAATTTGTCCGGAGCCGATGTAAGTTCCCTTGGGAGAGACGGCCACTGTTGACACGCTGTTGGTGTGTCCGCTGAGGAAGTGCATCTTCTTGTTCTTCCATTCCTGGATGCAGACCTTGTTGCCCATAGGGTATACGATGTGGTCCCCATCAGGATGGACTTTTAGCCCTTTTATTGCTGATCCTGTAAGATTTTTTAAACGTTGCGAAGTAAATTTAGTTTTTTTGACTACTTTACGTATCGTATCTGTTTGCTTTCTCATATTCACGGTAACAAAAGATAAAATGAATCTTTCCATGTTGCATATAAAAAGCCAACAAGAATTTTACGTTAGAATTTTCTTACCGTCAAATCCTATAATAGCGTAAGGTTCTAAAGTCTTTACGTCCATTATCACTTTATCAGTCTTATAGTTTGTATATTATATAAAAATAGAAGCTATTAAACTATAAACAACAGTCCGTTTAATAAAAGTTTTTGTTTGTCAAATTGCCAATTGCTATTACAATTTACGGTTGCTACGCAACGTTGTCTATAGTTTTTTCGCTGACTTAAACCCGTACAAATAATCATTCATAAATACATTTAAAAGGTACAGATAGAGATAACATGTCTTTTGATAATGTGTTTGGGTAGTGTTACCTTAACATTACACTACTATAAAAGAAAAAAAATATAGAATGTTCGAAGTTCAAGGGTTCTATGGTCAAGCTACATGTTTTACTAAAGTGTAATATAAAACTGTAAATATAAGACATATATAAGTGATTTGTATAGAAGTTCATGTCTTGATGTGCCTCAGCCTCACAAAAAGTAATCACTATCCTTCTGGTACTTGGTATATAAATATCACCATAAGGATAGTGGTGAAGTTATGAAGGATATAAATCATAGAGTATTACATGGGAGAGTGAAAACAGCCTTTGTTCTGTTTTGGATCAAGGGTAGACACACACAGGGAATTAATAAGGAAATTTTAAAATGACATTTATTTTATTTAATAAAATAAAAGAGCAATATCATACAATTCTTTTATTAAATATACATAATTCTAAGGTACACATTTAACATAACTAAAATTCATTATTTTAATTATCTTGCTTTGTAATTAAAATGTATTGAATTTTCAACATATACAAATCAAACATTTTCAATAAAAACTCAAAACTCTTTCTCGCATACCATAAACTACACCTATTTTTACAATATCTCTGCTTAATTTCACAATTTTAAAGTATTTTATCCTTTTTTTCTTGATTTGCTGGATTGAAACCAGACATACTTTAATGAGGACACACAAGTGATATAAAATTAGTATTTTTATCTTCTTCCGAAACACTTTTTCTGTACAACTTTAGCCTTTTCATCAACCTGTTCTTTGGCTACTTCACTCATCCTTTTTATTTCATTAATCATATATTGCTTGACAACTGATAAAAATTCTGAAAGCTGAAAATATATGATTGCAATAGAATTTTATAGAGTTTGTGGTTAATTTTATATATAATAGCAAGCTTTTAATAGCCTATTACTTTGTGCACTAAAGAGTATTAAAATCTACTTTTGTTTGTTATATAACTAAAGCAGTGTTGAGGTTGTGGTGTCAGGGAGGTGACCAGCACATAAAAATATGAAATGAAAAAACTTATTTACTATGAACTACACTAAAAATAGTAAGTACACATTGTACCAATCTTCCATAGGAAAATGGATGTGATGATGTTTATTATGAAGTGGAACCGGAGGGATTGAATATGTGGGATCACCAGTTGCAGTACACAAAGTATCAACCTAACAGTATCATTTAGAAATGGAAAACTACAACTAGAAGAATTTAATAAGAGATAGTGGTGTTTAACAGCAACTAAGGTGATTGTTAATTTCTGCTGTTTAACTTGAACCTGAATCTTTAAATTGTATTTATAGGTATTATTTTTAACATACCAGTAGATCGTTTTCATTTTTTCCAAGTTGCACAAAAGCACATTTGCCTGCATGACTTTTATGTTCTGCCCATGGATCATCATCAGCTTCCCAGCCGTCGAGCTCCTTACCACAAAGGAAGCATTTAGCTGCATCAAGATCGTCAGTGCCAGTTGCCACTGAGTAAAATCCAGCCTCGGCCATATTGCGAACATTGCATTTCTTTTTATCGGAAAATGGCCAATTCTTAAAAGTTTTCTCCCTTTCTTCAATTAAAAATAACGGTCTTACTTCCATATCGAACACCAATCTCACAACAATAATGGTAAATTAACTTTTCAACAAACTCGGCAAACATATAAACTATAAAACAAAACAAATCCGTTGGATTTATTCAAATCAAATTTTGACATAAGTCAAACTCTATAGTCTATGCTTTTGGCTCTGTCCTCTTTAAATGGACAGCAAAGAGTATATAAAATACAGGACATGTGGACAGGCTAAAAGATGAAGTACTTTGTGTCTATTTGATATTAGCCATTTCAACGATTTGGAGCGGTGTTGTGAATCTAAAAATAAACATAGATAGATGTCACGTAATATCAACACGAGCGTTCAAATCTGAACGAAGCAAAAGCGGTTGTTTCCAATCAATTGCCCATCAGTGACTTTTGGAGAATGCATGTACAAAATTTCTACTCTTTTTTTCAACTTGCTACACTGAAAATGGCCATATGTTCTTTGCTTTCTCTGTTTGTTTATGGTTCCTGCAGAGTATATTCAATTTCTGTATCTTTATTTATATACTCTTTGGCATGTTCGACCTTGTTTCTTTGGCCAATCGCAATCCAGAAAAGTTCGCGTTGAGTTAAGAATTCATGAATTCAGTATCAAGAAGTGTTCTCCATCCCTGTTGTACTTCGTTCGTAGTAATTGATAATCGAATGAGTGTTTGTGAAACAATATATTTTTCATTATTGAGCTACGTATACCTTGCAAAGTTAAATAATATACATTTGCCTTAGGATTAATATTACTCACAGTCATAAATTTAAAACGCTGCTCTTCCAAAACGTAAAGAATCGAATCAAGTGCCTGTAACATTTACACGCTTTTGTTTTATTAACTTAGCTATTAAATCGTTATTATCGAGTATTTCGTGTTTTTGTGCAGAACTTGCAATGGTCCGAGCTGTTTTCTAGCATTGTCCAGGCCGATACAACTTTTTGGTAAGTATTTTTCAAAAAATTCAATTACTTATATAAATAAAATCTTAATTAGTTCTTCACTATATAAATTATCTTATAAAAGAACGAAATTAAAATTAATCCTGTTACTTTTTTTTTATAAAAAAAGTGAAACTTTGTTTTTAATTACAATCTTGTAAATAAATATATCCACAATTAAGAGAATTTCTTATTTGTGATATAATATTATACAACTATTTAGTTAACTCTCGGATTAGGGGTCAGACTTGAAAAAATTTCAAACACGGATCTTAGCACAACATAGTCATTAAATTAATTTTAAGTTTCTACAATTTTCACTTATTAATTATTTTTATACATTTTTTCACTTTAATATAATGCTTTAAACCACTTAATATGTACTAAGTAGGATCATGGTCAACCTCTGATTAATTCGTTATAAGAAAATGTTTTGGCTAACTTTTATCTAAATTACAAAAATGCTGTATTTTTGTATTACATTGTATTTCTATGGCATATTGTAAATTTTGTTATCTATACATAAAAAATTCATGCAAACTCTATCACCTAATATATAAATTTCTTTTTGAATCCGAATGTAATTTTTGGCGTTATTCAAATTTTCATATTTATTTACTTAGGTCAGCTCAATTAGTCATATGCCATAACCACAGACAACATGCATAAGTATTTTTTGTTTTGACTATTGAGTGAGGCATTGGATGTCGGAATACATTAGAGAGTTGAGTTACCGCAAAACACACAATGTGCATGTCTAATTCACAACAATGTATAAACTCCCATAGCTGTATAGTGGTGTGTCATATCACAGTTTGCTAATTAGCTTTAATATTACTACTACTGTATTCATTTCTGCAACAATATTAAATATAATATTAAAAATAATGACTTCAGCGGTATGTTACTTAAAAGTATGGATGTTTTATGTCCACTCTGTACTCTAGTTCCTGTAATGTTTCTTTACTGCTTCTATTTCTTATAAATAAATCATCTTTTGAACATGATCACTTGGCATGGTTGGAAGTTTGTATACACTAGCTTGGAAGGTTACGATTCACCATACTTATAAAGGCTCCGCTTTATGTCTGGATGGAAAGACTGGCTGTAACTTGTGCTCTCTCTAATCATAGATATAACTAGAAGACCTGATAGAAATACAGTGTTACGTTTATATTCACATTAATTTGGCGGCGGAAGCCTAATTTTAGTTTCCTTTCCCGTGTCACCCTTTTCTTACCACGAAAAAATGGAAAGAAGAGTTGACGGTGACGCATAGGAATGGGAAATATTCTCGTCCTGTGCATCTCCTCTTCAGTTGATTAAAGGTAGGCAACGCATCTTCACTTTCGAGGAATTCAGGTGGCCACTTGCTCGTTTGTCACATTATAATATAAAAAAATAAAAGTTTATTGCAAGCATTATCTCAGCAATGGATTAACAGTAGAAATTGAAAATTTAAACATGGCAATACTGATTATAGCGCTTAATACATTTTGATACTTTATATGTCGGCAAAATAAGTCGTGTCAATTGTTTACTGTTGTAAATTGAAGTGTGCAGAGAGTTTTATTGACACAGAAAGTAGTAAAACGACAAAGATTTGCGTCACAAGGTTACGTTAACCTTTGTGACTTTTCAAATGGAATAGAAAAGCCTCTTGAATCTAAATATAGAGGAGTGGCGGGTCAAACGAGCTTCAAGTATCTTAGAACTTTTACTCTAGTCTAGGGATTTTCCCTAAAGAAGTACTTCATTGTACTTATAGAAATGTATCTAGACAAGTATATCATATCAGAAAACTTTTCAATAGTAATTGTCAAAATAATTAGCAAATTCTACAAAAATGTTTATTAGGGTAAATAAAATTAAAACGATAAGTACATACAAATCTGCTAAGTGACGTAAGAACTGTGAATTCACAGAGTAACATTGTTCCGTATTGCTCATCTTCAAATCCTGGCTACCAGGTATTTGGCAGAATTCCGTAAATAGCTACATCCGATAGACCAAAAGTGAATTAAGGTCAAGAGCTTTTATTGGTCCCAATTTAATTCTATCAGAATATTGCAGTTTATTGACACGTGTCCGAAGCACACCGCAATATAACACGTGTAGAGTGCTTGCAGCTGACAACTCTTGCAGCAATATCTAGGTTTACTACCTATGTTTTTGAATATCCATCAAATTAATATATGCTCTAACAAAAATTATGTATATTAATACTGGCAAGGTAAACCTGTATATACGTCCATCGCACTAGAGGACGGTATCTGGTGGTTATAAAAATAAAACCTGTAATATAAAGAACTAAAGCCAAAATAAATATATGATTTATCGGATACTCTGTTGATTAAAAACATCTATGTACACATACCATAAATTTCCGAAACCGTGTAGCAAGTTTAGTATATTTTTCGTCGGATATTTGTATAGAATAATATATAAAAATGGGTCAAATGTAAAGTACAGATAATCCAGGATAGATAGGCTGCAGACAAACTCGATCGATGGCGTCGCACTGCGCATTTACGGTGCTTTAACACGATCAAACAATTTAGTAGTCGTTATGAATATGATAGAAACAAATAAAGTATTCACACAATTATTATTAGCGCCAAAAGGCTAGTGGTGAAGAGTACGGATTTCCAAACATGTGGTCGAAAGTTCGAATTTCACCATTCGATTATTGTCGTAAATCATATCCTAGCACAAGCTTAAAGCTTAGTTGGAATGGTACAAGAAATATTAGTAAGTTAACATAAATCTGCTAATATTCAAACAAAATTGTATGTAAAACAATCAATCATGAAAGTTATCTAATTTTCTCCAATTTGATAAATATATTTAGTACATGTTGGTGACAATTTGAGGGCGATGCGTTGGGTTGTACTATGTCACAATTGGCTGCCTTGTTTACAAGTCCTCGTGTACCAAGCGATTGACCACGCGGTCATCAATTGCCCTTAATTACAGTACGTTTTAGTTATTGGAAGGCCGATTTAGTATCTTCAAGGTTTGAATCTTACGTTGCTTTGAATATGTTAGTTTTGTGTATTATTTGTTTTAGTGATATGTTGGTTACAAAATTTTATTTTTAAAACTTAATGTCAATAATGATATTTGTATAGTTATGTCGTGCAATTTTCAATATAACCATTATTATTAACAGCAATATTCATTGACACGTAGCATTCATACAATTCTTAAAAAGAGTATTAGTTGCATCAAATTGCGAAAATATAGGTCAGTTATTTACAGAAGCTCTTGGCAGTCAATGGCTGCGTCGTTTAGTGCTTATCGTATTAATTATTACTTGAAATATTTAACTACGATCAAATGTAGAACATAGATTAAGTTTTATTTCATGTGATAAATGTATAAGGCTCCTTAAACCATCTAGATAAGTGTGAATTATTCATCGTAAAGGAAGCGAATTGTCTATGGAATAGTTTTCAGTACAATCGTTACCTTTTCCCTCAACTTTTGAAAAGGATACATAGAGTAAAAACTGCGTTTAAAACCGCAACCAGAGTTGTTTAATAGTTACTTAAACATTCCCCTAATCTAGATTTCTCATACAAAGTCTCCTCTAAGTCATTTTCAATAATTTGTTCAAATAAGTACGACTAGTTGAGAAAACACGCCGACAGAACTTTTTGTTTCTAAAGTCAATTCATAAAGTTTCCCGAACTTCAAACTTTACCAGTTAATTAAAATACGACAGCTTATTTGGCTTCTTAGTTAATTACTCACGTTCATGAGTTTTGGATGAAAATTGTTGATTAGTTTTTCTTGTAGTGTTTGTTTTTGATAAAAACTTTTATTTATTCCATTGCATCCACAATTTTTTTAGTATTGTCTTTGAAGGATTGCGTAGACTTTTAACGGCTTTCCAGATCTCAGTATTTCGATGCAGTTGCTTGCGATGCGGCTGGTGTGAAAAATGTCTGCAATCATATCTGCCTACTTTTTTGATTATGCAACTGGTCTTATTCTCACAACATTGGTTACTTTGTTTATGTAGTTATAAGATTTACATTGTGGGTGACAATAGTTTTGATGCTTATAAGGCGGTTAACTGGATTACTAGAGCGTGGCCTGGTGGCTCAGTATTGAGGTCAACTTGATAGCGCTGGTGCTAAATATTTCACTGTCAAAGTTAACTAGAAAGTATTAAAGCTACTGCAAGGCCGGATACTTTGTGCTATATCAGTATTGCAAAAATTCATGTCATCCCTCTTATTCTCTTTGAAAAGACAGAGATAGTATCTGTGTTAACTGTACTATAAACAAAGAAAATTTAATTTAACATTATAAGTAGTTATACATAAAAAGATAAGTAAACTCCATAAGCATAACCTTTCTGCTTTATTAAACAATCTGAATGATGTAATAAATTTGACGTTGTCTACGTGTAAGGAGGGAAGTGGAATGGAAAAATTGCGCCCACCCCACGACGCACACGCGGCCCTTTGTACGTGACCGTAGCAGCTGTTAGCTAGTCTAGACATCGCGTGAAGTGTACCAAATTTATTGTCTCATGAGACCTAAGTTTATTGAATATATTACAGAGTTTATTGCATAAATAAATCCTATATGAAATATTTACCTAACTTTCATATTTATTCAGACAAAAATGTTGTCAATAAGACAACAACTTGATCTGTGTTAAGGATCGCGATGATATTTTAGTATTAAATTCTAGATATAACTAGAAAATATTGAATATATTGTAATCGGTTCGTGGATACTCCACGAACCGATTACAATATACTATATATATACTCTTGATATTAATGAGTAGAGAATCGAGCTGTTAGAAAGTAATAACAGATAGGTCGCGACCTCGGCCTCGTCTCGTCGGCAACACAGTTAGCGAACACGTGCTCTGTCGTAGAACATACTAATAAGTATTTTTTTAATTAACAAACACATTAATTATATTAATTATGTACAAATTTCGTGATTTTTTTTAATCAAAATACTATATACTATACTAT